CCAAAATGTTTCATATTAGTAGAGTTCATGTACGACTAGAAGGTGTCGATTTGCACCCAACAATTATATCGTGTGCTATTAAATATGTGGTGTTGTTTGTCTTAACTATCGGGCTGATTTAATCAAATCAGTACAATGCTATCGTAATGATTTGATCCTGCCAGCACTCAAACCGAAGCGACACTACAGTAATAAGGCCATATAATTATCGGAAATTTATTTATGGTAAGATGAATCTCCAACACTGCATACATAACATAATCTGTTGTCTATCTCTCGTTTTATTTATGGCAATAAGAAAAGCCAAACACACAGAGAGTGATGATCGATCGATGTTAATTTTTTACTTCATTCAATTCCTTACTGCATATAGGCTTTGTTATTATTACCTTCTGCCTTAAAGAACACGAAGTCGAAGGGGATGGTGTTCTTGTCGAAGGGCAGCACAAGAGTCCTCGCTCCCGACGGGAATGCTATGCTCAAATTGAAATTCTCGGTGGCGGGCAAGCAGATGTCAACAGGGTTGAACCAGAACTTGTAGGTGTCCGGAAAGCTGCCCTTCTCGATCTTGAACCAGTTTTGGTACGTTGTGCAGCTAGAGGGAGTCAAAGCTGCCTATACCCCATGAGTTGGCATTGGTGCACGCCACCGGGGGGTCTACTGCCTTGACATTGAGGGACTGAGAGACATTGATGAGGGTTTGCTCGGGACTTGGAGGATGGAAGCTCCATAGAATGCCCCTATCGATGTCCAAACTTGATTGAACCACGGTGATTTCGCAACCTCCGCCACTGTAGTTGGAGAGGAAAGGGCCGCCGCCACCGGCACCTCGGATGGAAGACACGATGTGGTACTTTTCTCCGGCCTGTATTACGCCGATTGCACCGAGAAATTGCAGACCAAAGATCGAATGTAATTTTATTAATAATGAGGTGAACCAAATAGCAAGAGAAACAATAAATATGTATAGGGGAGTAGTAAGTGGTGCTGATTTGATTCTGGCAGTATATATATATATATATATGTATATATGCAGGAAGTTATATATAAAAAATAAGATATATTATGATAGCTTATAATATAATTTCACGTAACATACTATATTATTGAATTCCACACAATAAATAGTACATTATACAATCTACATTGTTCATGCCTATACAACACAGCTATATAGTCTCTCCGTCCCGTCAAGATGACCCTTTTACTTAAGGACATATATTTTAGGTAGTGTAAATCAGTAAGTTATTAATAATAAGCTATGATATTATTTTATTATTTTTATATGAGTTATGTTGTTAGTATTTTAAATATTTTTAACATTATATATCAATAAAATATATACAATATGGATTAGAGAATAAAATTTTATATAATAAAAAAATACAAAAAAACTATTTATTTATTTATCATTAACTTAAAACTAATTTTATTAAAAACTAGGAGTTTTAAATATAGATAAAAATATTTATCTATTGAAGAGACAAAAATAAAAGATTTTGAGTGGTCGTACATATAAAAAGTTAAAAATTAATTAAATTAATTTATATTTGTTAAATATGTATATTTAAAATAAATAAATTTAATAAAAATATACAAAAATGTCATTTTTAAGGGAAGAGACTAAAAAAAAAAAAAAAGGGTCATATGTACACACGGAGGGTTACTTGTTATATAAAAGCATTCATTATTTGTCTTGTACAATATTGATTTGACACAATCAATAAATATATTTATAGGTTTAGAAATCCTAAACCTCCGGAAAATAAATTCAAAAGAAAAACAAAATTTGCAAAAATTAAAAAACAAGACCTGGCCCGAAAATAGAAAAATTCTATTTTAAGATTATAAATGAGCTCGAATAATCAATAAAACATAGAGCAACATCGCACCAAAGATGCTATGCATTTGGTATATTGAACTGTTTAAGTTGAACCGCGAGAATTCCATCCAATTCCGATAAATGACATGGAAAGACGAGAAATTAAGCAAATTGGATCGCTGTAACAAGAAAATTCAATTTAATTAGAGACGGAATTAGAGATGAAATTACGTTAGCTACGTGAACTTTATGGACTGAATTCCGTTACAAATATATTATTCTTTTGTAGTGATATTTAATTCGAAAGAAATGTTTTAGTGATTGTTATTTTAGTGCAGTGTACCTTCAGCTGATCTCCATTGATGTCCAAAACTCGAAAATCCTCGGCTGAAATGGTGAAGAAGAAAAGAAAACACAGAGAGAATAAAAGGGTCTTCATTACTATGATCAATAAGAGAGAGACAGACAGGAAGAACGATAATGTAGTGCCTGGTCTTATGGATGTTCGACGAGAATTTTCACGTTTTATTTCACTGAAGCTGCAAGGACCATGTAATTAATAGGACCACAAATTTACAAATAATTAAGGATGAATAATTTGTTCCGATGAAAAAAAGAAAAAAAAAAGAATGAATAATTTGTAGTCCCTCCTTTGGTTCGCCAAAAAAAACAAAAAAGAAAATCATTAGTAAAACTTAATTGGGGTATTGTGTTCTTCAAGTCTATCCGCAATCCCTTGTCATAAAACCCTTAAATTTCTGCCGTACCTCTACGATTAAATATGAAAAGTAATGCACGTTGCACTAAACTTTTATATATCCGTTGTTATTAATTGACATCATCACCCAATTAATAAATTATCGCTTTATATATGCTTATGACTGATAATCCAAATAGTTATATTTAACTCACAATTAAATTTTTAATACAAAAAAATGAACAATCTTTCAATTGGATGTACATTATTTTTGCCAATTTTGCTCAACAGTGTCAAGAAGAACAAAGTATCTGATGGCCACTATCAAAATTCTTCGATAAAACTCTACTAACTAATAAATTTATATCTGATTGAGAGAGATGACGATAATAATACGCGGGAGGAAAACGATAGAGAAACTATAGCCTCGTTGGATCGGTCTATTAACAGCCACGTGATCAAATGTTGAAGTTTGATTGGTTTTAGTAAATTGTAGGACATGCTCTACTACAGCCGTATATGATTTCGTAGAGAATAAAACAGCGTCATGTCCCAAAAATATTTGAACACATGCATGAAATACCATTCCCAAAATTTTCAAATAATGTATTGATAAATTGGTGACGGTCCCGTAGTAGACAACATCCTATGCAAAAAATGCAAAATAATTTATCACCCATAGATTATAGCAATTTAATGGTTGTGAATTCATATATAAGGATAATGTTGGTTCTTCTCTGAGATGTTTTGAATTTAAAATTACTCGTATGTAAAATAAATTTAAATTTAGTAATATTTTAAATGAAAAAGGGATTATAAAAAAATAACTTTTATATATAATTGTTATTATTATATAAAATAAATATTAAATATAATATTGTTTATATACATGTGGGTCAATTCGATAGCAATTCTAATATGATATTTCTGATTTGGACCAAATTCGCACAAATTTGTTTTTGACTCTTTCAAAATGCCTCTTATAAGTGAAGTTCAAGTAATCTTCCAATGTACTTACGTTTGCACTCCAATAGTTTGTTCTTCAAATCAAAGATTATATAACTCACGTATCTCCTCCAGTGATATTCCATTGATTTGCACCCACTACCTGGCTACATCTGTCGGGACCGACCGTCCAATCGACCACCATATTGAGATTAATAATAGTATATGTTATGTATGAACAATTGTTATGTATTGTCAGTCATGTAATTTATTTGTATTATATTAAAATAAATTATATTTTGTTAATCATAATATTGTATGTTGTCAATTTTTTTATATGATAGTGTTGTCATCATTGTATTGAATTATAAAGTTTAACAAAGAAACTGCTATATATATATATATATATATATATAGCTATTGGGTTGATGACTTTGCACCATGCTGATTTGATAAACAATTAATATTTTACTATAACACATATGACATATGCTATGTTATATAAATGAATGTGATTAGTTGAGTTATATAGTGTGTTATAGTGTATAATATATTTATTGTGCTTAAATCACAATATATTGTCCTATATAAAATTATATAATATGTTGTGTTATATAATGTATTAATATTTGATGTGTAAATTATATATTCTATTGGAATGTATAATTTGATCATTGTGCTTAAATATGAATATATTATAATGATATAATGTGTTATAATATATATATGTATTATATATTATATTAATATATGCTATTTTTTTTTATAAATATGTGATGATTGAGTTAAATTAACATGCGATATAAATATATATATGTATATGCACCATAATAAGCACGAGACAGAATTTTAGGGTCTGTTTCTTTTATTGGTTTGAAAAAAAAAAAATTGAATTTGATATTAAAATAATATTTGACGAGATATGTTACGAGAGAAAAAAGATTTTTTACAAAGAACGCAAGGTTCAAATAATAAAAATTTAAGAGTTTGAGTGATAAGGAACAGACCCTTATACGTAGTAAGATGAATCTCCAACAAATTAACCATACATAAAACACACAAACTCTCTCTCTTAACAAAACAGACAGCAAAACTGGTCTTATTTACTGCACGTAGGGTTTATTATTATTACCTTCAAGAATTCTCTAAACTTTATTTATTAATATGTGGTGAATTATGCAATAAATTAATACAAAAAAAATAATGAATTTGTATTAAAAAAAAAAAAACCAGTATTATGTATTTATATGCTTTATTTTGCAAACCAATTAAGCTATACATGGATTCATATGTAGTAAGAATGCATAGACATATCTTAATTAATTACTTTGTTAAACAATGAAGAAAAGAATATAGAATTTCCAAAGAGCTATGATATATATTTGTTGGAGGAATTCTTTTCTTGGTCCAAATATTTTACAATAATCTCGCCCAAAAGTACCTCCAAAGAATGTTCTTTTCTCTTCCCTTCATTGACCAAACACCTTCCAAAAGTATTCCCTCCACCATATGCCATATATTCAGCTGTTGTCTCAACACAACCCACCCCACCCCACCCCTTTGTCTTGTCTGATCTGATCAGTTGATAATGGCTTCGGTCGCGGCCGTGGATACCATGCCGGATGCGCTCAGGCACAGCCGGTACCATATGAAGAGATGTTTCGCCAGGTTTAGTTTCCCGCACTTCATTCTTGTGTAGGAAATTGAATTTCGTCGAATTTTATTGAAAATAATGAAAAAAATTTGTGTAGATTTGCAGGGATGGGAAGAAGGCTGATGAAGTTTCAGCAACTGAAGGAAGAGTTGGAACAGACGATTGAGGACAAGGTTGAAAGAGCTAAGGTTTTGGAAGGTTCACTTGGTGACATCCTCAGCTCAACACAGGTCCTTTTCGACATTCACCTTATTTTAAAATACACACATAACTTAATAAATTAATTAATTAATTAAAGTACTTATTACCCTATTGTATTTTATAAAAAATATACATAATATTTTGCTTCATCTGTCCATATAAAAAGTATGTTTTAACATTTAATCTATCTACCAAAAATCTGATCGTCTTATACAAGGGTGTTTCTATTTTTTTGAATAATAAAAATTTTGAATTGAAATAGTCATGATATAAATATGCACTGATACGATGTTTTCAATGTAAAATTAATTTTAGTATAATATAAAAAATAAAAAATAAATATTTTATTTGATTTTTTTAGAGAAAATTTGATAAATAGCGAAAATTCGGAAAAATCTGATAAAAGAACACCTTACAAGGTTTAGGTCTACATATTTGAGGTTGGGGGTTGAAAGTTTTTTCGGCGAAAATAATGCTTGCGCCGACGTGCTATTTGTACAGGAAGCAGCGGTTGTTCCGCCTTACATTGCATTTGCAGTACGGCACAATCCCGGGTTTTGGGACTACGTCAAGGTGCACGCCGACACTCTATCCGTCGAGATAATCACATCCACTTGCTACCTCAAGTTCAAAGAAATGGTATTCGACGAGGCATGGTGAGAAACTTAGGATGATTTTACAAGGGTTTCACTACCATAAAAATGTCATTTTGTTGCCATTGAAATTGTCGCAAAATGTACCTATTTCTATGACAATTTTAATAAAATTTTTCTCATAGTGTTTAATGTTGTTGTGGAACTAACAATGTTGCTTTGATAGGGCGAAGGATGAAAATGCATTGGAAATAGACTTCGGCGCATTCGACTCGACCATGCCAAGGCTAACCCTTTCATCTTCTATTGGAGACGGGCTCGGATACATCTCAAAGTTCATGACTTCGACGCTTGGAAAAGGCTCCAATGGCGCGAAACCGTTGGTTGATTACTTGCTTGGTGTTAAGCATCATGGCGAGGTTTAAAATAAATCGAATGTTCCTTATTTCTTATCCGAATAGCATTTCAATCCTAGCAAACAATCTAATCCTACTAGATTGTCTGAATGTGCAACTGAAATTTTCTATTTCATTCAATCTAAAAAATTACAAATCTCCTAAACGAGACTATTACGAACTAGTGTAAATCTCATTTCCCAATTTGATCATACTTGTGCAAATTTAATCATATCGCATCGTTCCCATTCTCATCGTGTAAATCACCAGGAACTTATGATCAACGAGATGCTAAACACAGTCGAGAAGCTTGAATCTGCACTGATTATAGCGCAAGTGTTCGTCAGTGCCCTCCCGAAGAACACACCTTACATCAACTTTGAGCAGAAGTATGACCAAAGATATCGATTCATTTCCTTCTCTCGTGTTCTTTATATTTTTTGACTTTTGAAAGATAAAGAATCGAGAGCTGATATTTATTAGGTTCAAAGAATGGGGCTTCGAGAAAGGATGGGGAGAAGACGCCGAAAGAGTAGGAGAAACATTACGTATGGTGTCCGAGATACTGCAGGCGCCGGATCCTTTAAACATGGAGACATTCTTCAGCAGGATTCCGGCAGTGTACAAGGTTGTCATATTCTCTGTCCACGGCTACTTTGGACAAGCAGATGTCCTCGGCTTGCCAGATACCGGAGGACAGGTGTGGATATACTCAAGAGATTGTTGTCCAATAATCGACTAGTGTCCCCGCCATTGTAATAACATTAACCTGATGTCTGAACAGGTGGTTTACATTCTTGATCAAGTCAAGGCTCTTGAGGATGAACTGCTGCTGAGAATAAAACGGCAAGGATTGAACGCGAAACCTCAGATCCTCGTCGTAAGTGTACTAAATTCAAGATTCCCGACAAGGGTATATGCGCGCCGGGATTCGTCTTAAAATGGATGTATATATACGAGCACAGGTGACTCGGCTCATCCCGGACGCGAAAGGGAACAAGTGCAACCAGGAGATCGAGGCCATTGCCAATACAAAGCACTCGGAAATCCTAAGGGTTCCGTTTAGGACGGAGGACGGAGTCGTCGGGCCGTGGGTTTCGCGATTCGACATCTATCCTTACCTGGAGAGATTCTCTGAGGCAAGTAATGCATGAGAGGAACAGTCATTCCTATAAAATATCATATCAAAATATTAATTAAATAAAAAATTCACATATAGAAAGTTATTTGATGTTGGCTTAATTAAGTAACAGGATGCTAGTGCAAAGATCCTTCAAGTGATGGAAGGTAAACCAGACCTGATAATTGGGAACTACACAGATGGAAACCTTGTGGCTACTTTGGTGGCCAACAAACTTGGAGTCACTCAGGTACAATTAAAAGTATATTATATTCTTCTATTTTATTAAAAGTTTTGAATTAAATACATTTTTATTGTCTGAAATAAGTATTGTAAAATTTCTAATATTAACTTTTATTAATAAAAAAAAAATAGAATAGATAATTTTGATGGTTTTGTTTCTAAATATTGTTAAAGAAATTATGTGTAATTTCTGGTTTAACCTTCCAAAAATTTAAACCGGTGGCTTTGTCTTGCTAAAATCAATATTGTAAAATTTAAATCTTTCATTAGTAAAGATTAAATAAAATAGTTGATCATCTATATTGTAGGGGTGGACACGGTTAGATTATTATTTAAAATCAAATAGAACAAATACATGAAACTATGAATCATATATACTTGAACTGAAAATTTTAATTAACTGAATTTAGTTAACCGAAAATATTTTGTAATATTTGCAAATAATTCGAACTAAACTAAAATAATAAAGAAATACATTAAAAAATAACTAAAATTTCAATTAAATAAAAATATTTGCAAATATTCCAATCCAACATAACCGAATCTAAATAAAAAAAACATAAAAAACCAAAAAATCGAACCGAACCTAACCAAACAAGTATCAAATATATAATATTTCTATGCGAACCGAATTGCTTGGTCAACCAAAAATTCGATTTGGTTTGATTCGGTTAGGTTCGATTTTTTTGTCCACCCTTAGTCGTTTTTTTTTTCTTTTTTCTCCAATCTTGTCTAAGAAACTAGAATATGTTTGTCTTTAAATGACAGGGAACTATTGCTCACGCTTTGGAGAAGACAAAATATGAAGACTCAGATGTGAAATGGAGAGAATTGGATTCAAAGTACCATTTCTCATGCCAATTCACAGCCGACATGATAGCAATGAATGCAGCAGATTTCATAATCGCAAGTACATACCAAGAAATAGCTGGAAGGTAATTAAACAATCTGGAAAAATTAATTTCATTTCTAGGCAAATAGAGTTCAGAGGACTTACTGTTTCTTCCGATGTCTCAGCAAGAACCGGCCGGGGCAATACGAAAGCCATACAGCATTCACAATGCCAGGCCTTTGCAGAGTTATTTCAGGCATCAATGTGTTCGATCCTAAGTTCAATATCGCCTCCCCCGGTGCTGATCAATCCGTCTACTTCCCATTCACAGAGAAACAGCAACGTTTAGCTAAATTTCAACCAGTGATCGATAAACTAGTCTTCAGCAAGGAAGAAAATGACGAGCACATGTAAGTTCATTTTATTCGATCTTTATAGTAAAGCGTATTTCTAATAGAGATGAATTTAATCGAGAAACCGGTATTTCTTTGACAGTGGATATATAACAGATAAAAAGAAACCGATAATCTTTACCATGGCAAGGCTAGATATTGTGAAGAACATCACAGGGCTGACAGAGTGGTATGGGAAGAACAATCGCCTTCGAAACCTCGTCAATCTTGTCATCGTGGGTGGATTTTTCGATCCATCCAAGTCAAAAGATAGGGAAGAAATGGCGGAAATAAAAAAGATGCATGCCCTTATTGAGAAATACAAACTTAAGGGTCAGATGAGATGGATAGCAGCGCAAACTGATAGATACCGAAACAGTGAGCTTTACCGTTGCATCGCTGACACAAAGGGGGCGTTCGTGCAGCCTGCATTGTATGAAGCATTCGGCCTAACTGTTATCGAAGCAATGAACTGTGGGCTGCCGACATTTGCCACGAATCAGGGAGGTCCAGCCGAGATCATAGTTGACGGTATCTCCGGCTTTCATATCAATCCTAACAATGGAGATGAATCAAGCAGTAAGATTGCAGATTTCTTCGAGAAGTGCAAAGCCGATAGCAAATATTGGGATAGAATGTCCCAACAAGGCCTCAAGCGCATTAATGAATGGTACGTATTTGCTACAAATTAGTCACTAATCCGAAAAACATAGCAAGAATCACAATTAGTAAAGTATGATCGCTTATGATTTTTCTCGCAGCTATACATGGAAAATATATGCAAATAAAATCCTGAATATGGGAACTTCCTACGGGTTCTGGAGGCAGTTAAACAAAGAGCAAAAACAAGCAAAGCAACGATATATCAATCTCTTCTACAATCTACAGTTCCGGAAACTGGTGAGTTCACAAAGCATATATTCAGTTTATGCAATGAAATTTTACTGACTAGCCTCAATGTGATACTACAGGCAAAGAACATAAATATCCCAAGTGAAGTAACCAAACCAGCAGCAATACCTCAACCTCATGAATCTCAAATATCTGAATCTGAGCCAGCACCAGCACAAGCAGCAGAACCAGAACAACAAAATAAATTAGTTCCTCCATTTGCAAGGCATACTTACCTATTTTCACATTATAGACAGTCTAAAAGTTATGAGTTAATGATTCTCTAATTTATCTGACAAATTTGATGGAATAACAGGGTGGATAGTAGAAGGGAGCAGGAGAGTCAGAGAACACAAATTGCAAAAATAACACAAAGCCCCGACGTCCGCAAATGGTTTTTAGTATGTGCATCTTCCTCAATAGCTATTTATGCCTTGGTGAAGCTGTATGGATTGTTCAAATCAAGAGATTAAGTTCCAAGCAGCCATCTAACATCGATCACAATGAATGTCCAGAGTTACGAGAGAGAAATTTCACTAGAGAAGTGAAATTAGCTTATAGGAAATCACCACCACAAAACTCAATATAAAAAAGGAAGAGGAGGAGACATTAGCCTCCTAGGATACAGAGGGAAGTTTAAACATGTCAGATTTCATTCACTAGAAATGCTGTATCTATTTAAATAGTAAAAATAAAATCAATGTTATTGTTCACTAAATTATCTCATCTCCATCCAATTAACAAAGATTTGTAAAATCAACAAAAGGAACTCAAAATATTTACCAGTATGCGTTATAACATCTTTCCTTTCACATGATGACTCTTCCGAGACTATTTCTTCAGTTTATCACGACAATGACAATGTAACAACAGAACTATTCACCTATATTAAGCTTATAGAACATTCAATTATCGTATGAGATTATCTGTAATACTGATACACTTAAATGCTATATCCCACAAGAAGAAAGTTTGCACTATCAACAGTTACCAAAATATTTAGAAATATATATATAATATATCAACCAAACTGTAAACTCAGATTTTAACTTGAAATGTAAAATTGGCGCAGATATAGCCGCATTAAATCAAAAGGTACTGCCACTAAAGCTACCATTAAAACAAATGCTACACAGGTCACCAGATACAGCTTAGATTACAGATCAATAAATATCCAAAACAAATAATCTTACTCTAACCGCACACTGTTCAATGGAATTTCACTACCAGTCAGTGTAGCTTCCAACTAATTGAGAGGTTAAACCGATAGAAGTCACTAGAAGTTATCTTTCAAATCTTCAACATCACCAATCAATTAACAGCAACGTCGAACTGATGAATGGCCAAAGTGTACGCAGAACAATGAGTGCTAAGAGCAGCTTCCATTCCTGAAAACCAGCATTTAAAGAATTTAGTTCCACACAAATCAGGTCTACATAAATACAACTAAATAGGCTTTAATGCAAAATAAATATGCCCAAGATGAAAATGTTAAAACGGGAGAGGTATGTATATACCAGAGAAGGATGTTATGACAAACTCCAGCTCCTTGGGCCCCTTGATATAAAGATGATTCGCCATCCTTCTCTATAATGCATCTCTTGTATGGGACAAAACCTTCTCGACATTTTCTTTTCCCTAATTTCATTGCAGTCTCTGCTTCACTAACACCGCTGTTTTGGTTAGCACTGACTTCTCCTTTTGAGATGCACATAGATCCTTCATTCCGAAATCCATCTTCAGCTCCTTTCTTTAATGGATTTTCAATATATATTCCCAAGTTGTTGCAATGCGAGTCATTAAGAAGATCTTCATTATTGCATTCAGATTTGTCAATGGAAACGACAGACTGCAATGGTTCAGAGTTCACCACAACTTCTAGACACTGTTTCATAGAATCTCTTACACGAACAGTCTTGCCAAAGAGCTTAATATGAGGTTCTTCATTACATCGGAAATCCATAGAAGGTTCTGTCTCTTCAGGAAAAAGCTCAAACTTCTGCATACACATAAAATTGCAGAAAACAAGGAAAAAGATATCAAACACAATTTATAGAAGTTCTAAATAATATCGATTCACTTAAGAGAAGAAAAAGTAGGATACCACAGTAGATTTTTTATTTGGAATTGGCGCAGGAGATATTTTGATGGGAAAATGACAATCATCATTTTCCTTTGAAGACAAGTTTGATGTTGTATATTCATTATCATTCTCTGAATTTAATAAGTTGGAAGAAAGTGCGTCAGCTGCATTCGAAACTGGTGAAAGACAAGATTTGCTCATCCCGGCACCTGTACATTCCAAGTTGTCAGAGCCGACAGTTGAAAGAACAGAAGTTGGAGAGTAACTATCTCTTTCACTAACAGAAATATCAGCTGATCCTTCTACTAGAATTGACGTAACAACTTTTGTTTTAGCAGAGTCAACTGCTTTACGAGGGTATGGGTGTGAAGGTTTCTTTTTGGGCCGAGGAGGAGGAATATCAATTGGATTCAAAGATCCATCAACATCGATCCCCCCTGAATCTCGAGTGACCTTAGCAAAGAACTTTTGGGCATGACTCCTGATTTGGATGACAGTTTTCGTACCCACGTGCTCTTCATAGCAAACAAAACCATAGAAACAGTTATATAATTGAATGGCAACATCAACTAGAATTAGTTATACTTCTTTGGGCAACAAACAACCTAAAGACACTATACTCACTTTCGATTTGACACCAAGCACGACCATACAGCTTCAGGGCTTCGACAAACCTTTTATGTTCCTCCTCAGTCCATCTTTCCCTCTGCTTTTTTATGGTATAAGGTTTCCTCACCTAATATAATAAAGATCACAAACGAACATCGATATCATGCGGATGGACGTAATCAGGTGAAAAGTGAGGACTGCATCAACGAATGAACAAAACCTTAGGTATATAGCCATCGCTATGAGGTGATATTGCTCTAGATTCGCCAGCTGAAGCACCCTGGCTAGCGGCGGTGGACTGAACCTGCAGAAATGGGCAGAACAACAATCTAAGACATTAAAATCACTAATTTAAGAAATAAATCAAACACTAATCCACATTCCACTCCACTTGTATCAAACTAAGTTATGCAGAATTAGGACTAATCAAACAAGAGGTCTATGACACTTTCCAGATACCAAATTGTTGCTAAATAATCTGCTCCTATTTTCTCCAAGTCAATCCGTTAATTTCCGATGCAAGAATCAATCTTTCCATAATCTCACCTTTCCAGATAGTTTCCAAAAACGTTAAGCATCAGGCTAAGATCTAACTGCAATTACTTTAGACTCGATATGGATTACACATACACACAAAGGATCTATGTCTTCACAAACTCATCAAACCATCTTCTTTCCTGTTTTCCCTTAAAGGCTTAGAAAATTGATTAATGCGTTTACACGTTACAATCGGGAGTCTGAAGCCGAATCAAATAATGAGAAGCTCGCCTCGCCGCATCTTCTAAACCAATCAGATTAAAGAACAGGACAGTAATATATTACCCTAGAGCCAACAAAGAAATGATTTAAAAGAAAGACAACAACACTAACCTGAGATTCAGCAGCCATGGGCCCAAATTGACAAATAAATCCAAATCGAATACACAGATTCAACCAAAGCCCCGCGGTCGGCTGGAAACGCAGAAATGCAGCAAAACAGTCGGAAAACGGTGGCGAGGAAGAAGAGAGTGGTGCAGAGAGAGAGAGAGGGAAATGGCGAAGGGGGAGATGAAATTAGGGGAGGAAGAGAGGGCCACGTGGGACTGCTAAGCAATCTTAGTTGTGAGTGTGACAATTAATCAATTAATTAATTAATTAATGAGGTGATTAATTAGGAAAGGAAAGATCGAGAAGGCTCGCTGGAAGGTTCTGTGGCTGAGAGTGAGAGTGGGGCCCGCCGCCACGTGTCATTGACCCATATCATATCTTTTTTGTGGTTCACTCTTACCACATAGACGGATTCTCCTGTCCTCTCCCTCTCCCTCTCCCTCTCATTTTTATTTTTATTGTTTAAAATATTAATAATATTATTTCGTGATCGTGTTATGTTTCTTCGCAAATGTCTGGGTTCATGTTCAGAAAAATTATCATAATTATTAGAAAGAATAAATTGAATATATCTGTAAATTATACTCTCTTCCATTAAAGTAAAGTAAATGTAAAAAAAAAATATAATAAAAATAAATCTGTTTGTTGTAAATAAATATTGAATGAAATATTAATTCTAAAAATATAAATTTAGAAACGAATTAAAAATAAATGGAAGATAACGTACTTTTTTTAGTCTCAAATAGGTTGATCGATGCATATTTAAATAGTGAAATTTGTTTAATTAATATAGTAAATAACAATAATATTTTTTTTATTTAAATGCCATTGCTAGTAATTTTAAAAAAAAATAATAATATATATAATTGAATTTTTTTTAAAATATGTAGTTAAATATTTTTAAAATTATTATCTAAAAAATATATAAATATAAATATTATTTTGTAAACAATAAAATTTATATAATACAAATAAATAAAATATATTTATTTATAACTAATATATATAGATAAAAAAAATATATATATTTATTTAGTAACGAGAGAGATAAAAAATAAATAAATAAATAAATTAGTGAATGTAATGATGTTATATATTTTGAAATTAATTAAATTAATTTATATTTATTAAATATATTTTAATGAGTATAATTTATTAAAAATAAAATTATCATGAAGGATGAGACATGTAATTATTTAATTTGGATTTTTAGAAGCTTTTTTTGTAAATAATTTTCCAAGTGAAATGAATAAGATATTTTATAATACAGTCAAATATTATACTTCCTCCGTTCAATAATTAGCCATTCATTTGCTCTTTGTACGTAGTTTTATAAATATTAGTATTATATTAAGACGTAGTAGAAATAAAATAGAAATGACTAAAATAACCTTATTAGTATGATTTGATATAAATATAATGACATTTGTGTAATATATTGTAAGTTGTAAGGGTATTTGTAATGTTAGATAGATAATACAGTTACTAAAAAAAGAAATTGATATTTTGTCATAAGACGAACTAAAATGAAAAAATGGATACTTTATTGGTAATATTTTAATATATTATGAAACTATATGTGTAATATTTGTTGGGTTGGGCGTATCATTTGCCCCAGGCCCATTTTACAAAGCCCCTGCGTGCCAAATACTGAGTCTGAAAAGCCCATCCTCAAACTTAGATATTTTCTGAAATTTTTAAGAAAAGCAACTACATTTGTTATTTTCGATTAAAAAAATAAAAATAAAAAAGACATCATGTCAAAGAAATGTTGTAGCACACCAAAATGACCTTTATGAAGATCAAATAATTTTTGTATTCTGCAAAGAAATTTCCATTCATAAATAAGAATAATCAAAATAACCGTTAAAGAATAAAAACCCATTTATAATATTGTTCCAAATGCATTTAATTAATATTTGTTTATAATTACTAAATAAAAGAAATTTGTACTCAATTCAAGTTGATCACCAACAAATCTAAATATATATATATATATGGATCATGAACTTATTTTTTAATTTTTTTTTTTATTTTTATAACGTGTGAATCTGCAGTGATTATTCCACGAGTGCGTTATTGGTAAACTCCTGTCGAACCAAATGCCTGCAAACTAGGCTCGATAATATAAACCATAGCAGGCAAATCATGTGTATCATGAGCTTATTTCATAGTTAATTTGGTGGTTTATTCCAATTAATGATCTTGTATGAAGTGATCATATACTTTCATCTGAAATTAATTTTATTTTTTCTAAGGATCAAATTTCTGGAAAACAAAGGAATAAGGATAATCCGACGTGAGAGCCAACGGCCACATTCCGTTCACCGAAAAGACGGCAATGTTCCGGCGACGACCAGCGATCGGACACACATCCCTCGGATCGTATTGAATCCTATAGGTATTTTTGAAGGGGGTATTCTTGATGATTTTAAACCAATTTCGGTAAGTTTTGCAGCCGGGTTTACCTACAACGCCTCCAAGTTGTATGTAGCGCAACCTCGTCGTTTTGTCCTCATACTCCGCAACTTGCCATATCGTGGAGTTGAGATACGCCGATGGGGTTTGGAATCGGATGGTCACGGAGCTTACTGATTCACGGATCCATTGTTCCCCCGGAGTAGCTGAATAGAAGACAATGGGAAGGGCATTTCGGAGAGATGACCTGTCTTGGACGACAGTCATGGGGCCTTGATCGCCGCCGACGATGCCCCGTGTTATAGGGCCACCATCAGGAACTATTTGAGCCGATAAGATGTAATACCTGTAATTATGTACTTCATTTTTCATTCAATTTTGTGCTAATTTGACAAGAAACGGATTTTAAAAAGAATAGATAAAAATAAAAAACTTATAGTTTTTAAGATAAAAAAATTGGTACTTTTTTATTTAAAAAAAAAATGATAATAAATTGAGATGAAAATAATTTTTTTTTTAATAAGATAGAAAATATGTTAGAAAGTATGAGCCAAACGAAAGATTGGGATTTATGGGTTGTGTTTTTAAATGGTTGTAAATATTACAAATTTATCGTAAAAAAGAAAGTGATAAATCCACAATCAAATAAGTGGTTGCTGCTAGTATTTTTTGGCAAGTATGACTAAGAAAAAATAATTGTCCCCAAATAATAATAAGAAGAATGAAAATATACAAGAATTTAATTAAGTATAAGTCCATTAGTGTTTTTTAAGTTAATTTTAAGTTATTTAAGTTTTTAAATATTATATTAAATATTAATTTTATATAAAAATAATATTCATTAATTATTTTATTTAGAAAAATATAAAGATAATAATAATATAAAAGGAACACACACACACAAAAATATAAATTATAATTTAATTAAAAAAAATCAATCTATATCATGTGTTCAGATATATCCAATTGTATCCACTTGTAGCTCAACTACTATGAGCTAAAATCTCTTTAACTCATTTTTTATACTTTGCTTTCTACAACGAAATCAAGTCTTGAAAGCAAATGCTAACAATTTTCAAATCAATCTACTAACACATTTTACCATACATATAAATAATATCATTTATACCTGTCGGATCTAGTTTGCAGGGTATTGGGTTCGACCGGGAGTTTACCTAGTGCGCACTTTCGGGTAGCGGCGGCGGGTTCCCATGTCATAAAAAAAAAAAAAAAAATACCATTTATAAAGTAAAGATATTTTAAAAACTTAGAATCCCTTTTCATATATAAACATTTTGTTAAAAATTTATGAACAATATATATATATATATATTCAAAAGATTATCATATTAAGTATATAAGTATTTTCTCTTACGACATAGCAAATAAAATACTTAATTTTTCATTATTATTTTTAAAATTTTCAAAACTTCGAATTTTCAAAACAATTCAATGCGAACATAACCTTTTATTTTTATCGAAAAATTAAACTTCATAAGAACGACTCTAATCATACGTACATGCTTCCTGTCTGCAGTGCGTTTCCATATGTGTCGATGACGGCCGGGGGAGTCAACACAGGTTGAGGCTGGCCATCTGCCATTGGTAAGAAGTTGGTAGTGAAAATGAAGAAGATGAATATGAAGATCATGAAGTTGATGAGAAAGAAAGGAGGATGAATTAAAAGGGTGCAGTGAATCATCATTATATTGCTGCTATTGAATCTTCATGTATTTGGTTCGATTTTTTTTGTTTTTATAGGTCAATTAAATCAACCATCTAAGGTGATCGATGTCCATATTCAAGATTGCCGACAACTTTAATTTGGAGCTTAGTTAGCGTATCTTTCATTCAAATGCAATTTAGTTACGAGTCGCTTTAGTTTGTATTGAAATGTCGTTATCTTAACAATTACGATAAAAAAGGATATTTTAGCCATTTATCTAAGCTTTTAACCATTTTTAGTGTGGCCATTTGTTTCGACTGTAAATGAACTTATTCGTATTCAGTTGATCACATTCGCTTATAGTATATGTTTTCTTATTAAGTACTTCCTCTATCCCATATAATTTGTCCCTATTTTTTATTTTCGTTTGTCCTGTATAATTTGAATTTTTTTAAAAAATATGATTATAAATTTTAATCACATTTTTAATTTTATAATTTATAATTTTTGTAATCTTATATAAACTATTTAGTTATCTTAATCTTAATTTATAATTATTTTATTATACAATAATTATTTTTACTAATACACTTTTTAATTACGTACTAATTATACTTTATCTAAATTCAAGTGTCTACAGTAACATGGACAAAATATCTGGGACGGAAGGAATAGTACTCAAACAAATACATCGAACGAGGCTTGATTACCTGAATAAAACCCATGACATGGAAATAGATAAGTAGAATTTACTATTTTCAGATCCTACCATTACTTTGAAGGAAACAACTCATCTTGCCAATATATATAATCGGTTTTATTTCTATCTTTTTTTGTGTTTGTGCTCAAAATTAGACGAAATTTGCATGGTCATCCAAATAAAAAAGCCTGATGAATCAAATTAATTCATAGACATATGGTATACAATATTTTTTTTTAGCATTCGAGATTGTTTTGGACTTCAAATATTTTTCTACTTTCTATTTTGGGTCATATAATTTCTAACTTTATAAATTACCTACAGTTTTCTTTGAATAAAAACACAGTTTTATATTTTTTATCGACAATTATTCTTTTCATGCATAAATATATATTAATTTGTATTATACTCCTCCGTTACCTAGAATATGTTCTAACTTTCAACACGACTTTCAATGTAGGGTGTATTTTTGTTACTTTTTACTATAAAAAAAAAAAGTAAAAAAATGATATAATTTTATATCAAAAAAGAAAATAGAAACATTTTAGGTGACAGGTAATAGAGAAAAATAATTACAAAAATTTAGGTGATGGAAAAATATAAAATTTTATTTTCTATAAAATTATACCCCTATTGAATATAATTACTCAAATATTTTTCGAAATATAAATACATATTTTAAATTTATTAATAACAAATATATTACATAAAAAATAAATATCAAATAAATAAATTCTATTCAATCAAAATTTCAGCAACAAACCATCATACCGCAGAAGATATGTAGTTCATATCGGTTGAAGTCTTCCTTAATATTTGATACGAAGTTTGTAAAAAAAATACTTCATTCGACTGTTTTGAAAAGAATAAAAAAAATGATAAACAGTACAAAGATTTTCGAGAATTTAATCAAACAGACCCTTAGGGGTAATTATAATTTCATACGTTGTAGACTTTTGCATACAAAAAACAGTTATGTTTCAACTCTTTGGAACACAAATTCGTAGGGAGAGTCGTAGGTTAGAGCCAAAGGCCACCTTCCATTGACGTTGAAGATGCCGACGAATTGGGGATCGACTGGTATGTCGCACACATTGTTTGGATCGTACTGGATCCAATAAGAATTTTTGAAGGGGCTGCTCTTGACGATCTTAAACCAGTTTCTGTATGTATCGCAGCTGGGCTTCCCTTCCACGCCTTCAACCTGTATGTAGCGCAATCCCGTCACTTTGTCATACTCCCCGGCCTGCCATATCAGGGACTCGGGACAGATCAATTGGGATTGGAGCTGGATCGTTACCAGGCTACTTGATTGCCGAATAAAGTTTTCGCCCTGTTGAGCCGGGTAGAATTTGCATGGTATGACATTTTGGAAACAGCTTGATCTGTCTTGGACAATAGTGATGGGGCATTCGTTGGCGCCGAGGGAGTTTTGAGCTAGAACGCCTCCCTCGGGACCTAATTGGGCCGGCAAGATGAGGTACCTATTGAAACATTGAAGTAGAGTATGATGTGAAGAAAGAATCGTGTTAACCTAGTTCATCTTAATTTGATCGATTTGATGAGTTTGTTCACTTAGTGTTTTTACTATACATGACACGTTAAATATATTATTTAAAATTCACAATATATGACTGTTGCGGATTTCCACGTCATAATAAAAAAAATTACAATATATGCATGTATATATACATCAATAAAAGTAAATTAAGGGTAGGCTTGATTATAATTATACTTCCTCTGTACGGGAAATTATGTAGTTTTAGTTGAAGACGGAAACTAACAACTAATGATATTATAATGTTAAACTATTATATGTAAAAAGTAAAGTAAAAATATTATAGGAAATTTATTAATGAGTTGATAAAATAAAAAGGTAAATAGAAAAAAATCGTGGAAAATTTTTACGATTTGTTAAAGTAAATATAATAAAATTATAGATGAATAAAGTATTTTATCATAAGTTTAGCATAAGACCGAGAAATAAAAACCGACATAATTTGTGCAAAAAGAGAGAGTAGTATATCAAATTAAATAATTATAATTTGAGTGGAAAGAGAAAATATGTATATCAAATCAAAGAATTATAATTGAACGCCGATCAAGTGCTAATTGAGTCAAATCGACACTTTGTTGATCATTCAATTTGGTCAGCATATACAACATATATTTTTGCATAACACAACATATGTTGGGTTATAACATAATATATCCTATATCATAAATATGCTATGATAGTATATCATAGGATTTAGATAATATTGATATAATATTAATAGTTGGTAAAAAAAAAATAAGTAAAAGAATTTTTTTTACGAGTATATTAGTATAAAAGTAGTGATATTTGTGTAATAATAATAAAAAAATATGGATAATTTTATGATGATATGAGTATTTATGAAAATAAGATTATTATTTTGGAACGGACAACAATGATAAACAATACTATTACATTGAGATATAGGGAGTATATAACGAACAAATCAGCACTATGCTGATTTGATTGGGTCAGCATCGGATCCGCATCCATTATAGATATATTCTGTGAAGGGTTTGCTTGTTTGACATATTTTCCAAAATAGGCCTACATTATTAAAGTATCATATTATGTTATTTTCTGAAAAATTATATTTAAAATATTAGATTCAAAGCTTACTATAAATTTAATATATTGTATTAATACCTAATTTTCATTTAATTTATATCAAAAGTTGTTTTCTATTCAAATTTGAACTATTTTCAAAATGCCGAATCGCAAACAAGTAAACCCCAAATTGTTCTTATTCGATCGAACATGTAAACCCATGGCTTAAAATGAGAATGCCATTTTCTTTTCCTTTTTTTTTTTTTTTAAAAAAAATGAGAACAAAGAGTAACTATGGAATATTGATCACTCATACTCTTAAGCCAATCGAAATGGAAGTAAGTTAAAAATCAATGGTTCCATTTTTTGTTTAATTTCCCCATACTAGACTACATAATAAATAATGTTGTTCATTTCCAAAATCTCAGAAATAAAAAATTCACACATACGGAATTCCTGCCCGAATTTCATTTCCATAGGTGTCGAAGACTGGTGGCGAAGTCAATGCAGGTTGAGACTGGCCAGCTGCCCTCTGTGAAGAGCTGATGAGAATGAAGAAAAAGAAGAAGAAGATCATGAAGATACGAAAGGGAAATTTGCAGTGGATCTTCATTGTGTTGCTGCTGTTCGCCGTTGGTGGCAATTCATGTATTTAATTTGGTGCTTTTTTATATATATAGTGTCCTATTACTATATATATGTAAAGTGATGTCCACATTCAAGATTCTTGTCGACTTTATTTTGGAGCTTATTTGGGGTTGCTTTAATTCAAATTCAAATTAGTTAAGAGTCGTTTTAGTTTGTACAGGAATGGGTGTGGAGATTGTAGAAATGTCATTGTCCTAATTGCTAGCTAGGGATCACACGAATGTCATCATCTAACTATTTATTTAGCTTTTAACAATTGAGTTTGGTTAAGTGTGAGAGTGAGATCAATTGTCGTAGATGATATAAAATTTATAATGATAATTTGTGCGCAAACGTGACCAACATAGACCTGTTTGAAATTGAATTGAATTATATATTGGAACACTAGCATAAATATCAATAAGACAATACATGTGAGTGAATCTTAAAAAGTCAAAGACTTTAGTTTGTTTGTTTAGCATTTTAATGTGAAGTATTATTATTATTATTATTATTTTTTGATAAGAGACATTAAGAATTGTATAAATAATATAAAAAAAATAGTTACGAATGAATTGATAATTTTTTGTGAGATAAAAAAAGTAAATATATTATTATGTGATATATTGTATTTTTTATTAACATTTATTGAAATTTGTGTAAACTAAAGTTTGTTGGGCCAACGAATCATTAGATGAGAATTTTGAAGAATTTTTTAAATAATAAAAAATTTGATATTTGATATTATATTTTCTTAAAATAGATATATATGTGAAATGCTATATGTTTTTTAAATTAGTATTAATAAATAGAACTTTCAAAATTATCTAGGTAAATATAGCACAAACATTTTTCTTCAATTAAATGCATACATCAGTGGAGGAAGTGTAGCTCATCAGGCAGTTGCAGTTGAGAGCAAAAATGCATACACTAGGGCTTATATATTCATTAGTAACAATGAGTGAACATAATTATATAGTAGAAACACACAGCATAATATGTATTTCTCTTTCTTTTATATATATA